GGCATTTATTAAACACTGTGATATACTATGGAGATGCCTTGTTTTCTTAAACTTAGTGCATGACCTGCATTATCCTATTGAAGTAGTTATTTTTTTTCCAGAGAGTACTGTGAGCACTTGTTCCATATTTCCACAAGCAGAACCAGAAGTCCAAAAACAGTGTTATTCTTGGTCATGTTCTAATTAAATCTGATGAAGTCCAGTGGAGGATACCTCTTAAAGAACTTTCCAATTTTAGGGCCTGACTGTACATACTTACTTTCAAGCCAGGCAGTGTCATGCTGAAACACTTGATGTACTCCATGCACACAACTTCCTGAGCCAGAAACAAGGTAGCAGCAAGAGGAAGAATCAGTTAATTCACCCACAATGCCACATGAACATGACAACACTGCTTCCAGTTTGGGAGCAGTGCAGAACTGACTTTAAAGGCATTTCTGCACTGCTCACTTCCCATATGTGACACAACTTGAAAGGCACACAAAGTAGCTGGAAATGCCAAATTACAAAAAGAGCATTCTACACAAGTACACTCCTCTTACCAATGCCATCTGCTGCATTGGTAAAAGTACTGAATACAAAAGAATGACTCCACTACTTTACTAAAATTTCATTTTCACGTGTTCCTACAATCTATTCGTTGGCTGAGCTAGCCAGGATATAGGAATTCTCCAAAGGGGCAACAATGATCAGTGCGCCCTTTCACCCAGCTGTTAAAAAACACAATGACTGTTGAGTCCTCTTGATTGGAATGGTATAGGTTGGTCCTTGTAATCAACTTCCAGTGAGGAGACCTGGTCTCATGTTTAGTGCCTATATATCTGGGTGCAGGTGCTTTTTCCTGTGAGAATAAACTCACATTCTATATGAACTTCTAGGAGCCTTGTGTCCATTGCAATTTGTAACTTGTTAGAGCTGTGAAAGGGAACTCTGTATAAGGTGCCTAAGATTTTTCCTTTTGTGAATTGATGCCTGAGTCGGTCACCATCCATTACCAGTCATCCTTGTTGCAACTGACTGCAAAGTCCCAGTGACATCAGGAATGAGCAAGACCAAGAGCCAGCAAATAGGAGAATTTGAGTGGGACTGCTGCTTGGAAGAAAAAGGAGAATCTTGGTTGCTTTGTGTGAGTGCCTGTGAGTAGAGGCACTTTGGGCTTTGTTTTGTTGCCATCTTGCAGTGCTATTTCAAGCAATGAGGGATGCTTGTACATGTGACAGGGATTTAGTCCTCAGGGTGTTATTCTATGCCCCCTAAATTGAAACGGGGTATAGAATATGCCTACCATTTCAATTTTTTCTGTCACGTTATAGTGAGAGGCCCGATCCTTTTCTTTATTTTTTTGTCAGAGCTGGAGCCTGCCCACAGCTGCAGGGGCAAGCTGCCTGCGGGCTGAGTAGCCCCCGAGCTACGGGAGGCCCTGGTCCTTCCCTCCACAGTGGCACTGCCCCCTGGGGCTGCCCCATCTCAGAGGCAACACCCAGCCCAATCCAGCTCTGCCCTGTGGAGGGAAGGACTGTGGCCCCACGCAGCTATAGGGCCACTCAGTCACCGCCCCAGCCACTGGAGAGGTGGACAAGCTCCGCCAAAAAAAAAAAAAAAAAAAGTGTCAGGTTCCTCATTGCTTCTACCTTCAGCAGGCTCCTGCAGCCAACAGGATGCCTGGGGCCACTTGGGAATGGGCTGGCTTCCACCTGGGGCAGCACAGGAAGGTGGCAGGAGGGCAGCTGAGTGTTGGCGGACGGAGAAGGCAGTAAGGAAAGTGCACAGGGCTGCCCGGGCTGCTAGCTGGCTGGGTGCTGCCCCACCTTGGAGGCGCCCAATCCAAAGCTTGCCCGAGCCTGCCCAAGCTTCCAGCTCCCCGTGCACGATCCCTGTCGCCTTCTCCAGCCACCAACATACCCAGCTTGCCCCTGGGGCAGTGCGGGAAGGCGAAAGGAGGGCGGCTGGGTAGGCTGGTGGTGGAGATGGTGCAAGGGGCGAAGTCCGGGTGAGCTTGGGGAAACTGTTGGATCAGGTACTTCTGAGCTTAGGCAGCACCCGGCCACCTAGCAGCCCACTCGGGCTTCCAGTGCCCTGCGTACCATCCTGCTGCCTTCTCCAGCCACCAGCAAACCCAGCCGCC